GATTTGGGATCTGTTCCCAGGGAACAGGGACAGGACAAGGGGAAATGGGCTCAGGCTGGGCCAGGGCAGGCTCAGGGTGGGCAGCAGCAGGAATTCCTGCCTGGAAAGGGAGCTCAGCCTTGGCACTGCCCAGGGAGGGTTGGAGTGCCCGTCCTGGAAGGGTTTAGAATTCTTGATTCCCTAAGCCCTTACAATAACTAGTGACAAGCCTTTGCCGTGGGTTTTGTTATTCCAGGCAGGAAGAGAGAGAAGCAGGAGCAGGTTATTGGGATATTGGTTGGTAGATGTGAGCAGAAGGTGAGTGTCCTTCAGTGATGGGGAGGAAATGTCCTTTACCAAGGATCTGGCAAAGGCTGCGAATTTGCTGAAGAAGGGATCTCAGAAAGCTGATTCTGTGCTTTTTGTAACATTTAAAAAATTCATAGAATCCTGGATTCGTTTGGGTTGGAAAAGCCCTGTGAGACCATCAAGTCCAACCACGCCAGAACTGCCCAGGCCACCGTGTCCCCTGTCCCCAAGTGCCACAGGGCCTTGGAACCCCTCCAGGGATGGGGAGTTCCCCCTGGCTGGCCAGCTGTGCTAGCGCTCACCTGGCCAGGGCTCACCTGGCTCCAGGGCTCACCTGGCTGGGGCTCACCTGGCTCCTGTGCTCACCTGGCTGGTGCTCACCTGGCTGGGGCTCACCTGGCTCCTGGGCTCACCTGGCTCCAGGCTCACCTGGCTCCTGTGCTTGCTCCCCAGAAATCCCCGGCCAAGAAGCTGAGCCACGCCATCAGCAAATCTCTGGGCTGCGTGCCCAGCAGGGACCCGCCCCGGCCGCTGTTCCCCGAGCAGCCCGAGAGGCCCCTGGACCTGGCCCACATCGTGTGAGTACCCTGAGCCCCCTCCCCACCCCTGAGCCCCTCCTGAGCCCCCTCCTCACTCCTGAACCCCCTCCTGAGCCCCCAGACCTGCCCCACATCGTGTGAGTACCCTGAGCCCCTCCTGAGCCCCCTCCCCACACCTGAATCCCCTCTTAGCTCCCTCCTCACTCCTGAACCCACTCCTGAGCCCCCTCCCCACCCCTGAGCCCCCTCCTCATCCCTGAGCCCCTCCTGAGCCCGGGGCTGGGGCAGGGAGCAGCCCAGGCCCTGCAGTGCTTCTCAGGTGTTTCCCTGCTGGGTTGGGAATGTTCCTCTGGAGAATCCGTGCTTGTGAGGAGCCTCAGAGCTGCAGGAGGTGTTTGTGCAGCTGGAGGCAGGCCTGGCTGCGTCCTGCCTGCAGCTCTGGCACCTCCCTGTCCCCACCAGGGGCACCTGCCACTGCTCCCGTGTCGGATCAGGCTCTGCTTTCTCATTTATTGTAAATTAAATGAGACACACAGCACCGTGTCACACGCGTGGGTCAGCTCCCGGGGCCTTGGCCTCACATCCCTGGCCTCTCTCCGTGCCTTTGTCCCCCTGCTGCTGTGAGCCCACTGTGGCACTGGTGGGATGGGCTGGGTGGAAAACCACGGCACTGGGGGTGGCTGGAGCAGCCTGAGGCCACTCTGCTTCCCCACTTTGTCAGGTTTCACCTCACAAGTAAAAACCGAGAGGAAAAGACCCAGACAAACTGAATAAACCTCAGTGTCCCAGAGAGGCTGGAGGAGAACTCCTCACACCTGTAGCAGAGGGTGAGGAGGAGCAGCACTGGGATCTAATTGCAGGAGAGTGCAGCACTCCCATTTCCACGAGGGTGGAGCCAGGGCAGCCTCAGGGTGGGGAGCTGATCTCTGCTCTCATCTGAGCACCAGATCCCCCTGGGAGCAGTTCCTGTGCCCCAGGCCCTGCGTGGGGAGCCACGGGCAGCCTGNGTGGGGAGCTGATCTCTGCTCTCATCTGAGCACCAGATCCCCCTGGGAGCAGTTCCTGTGCCCCAGGCCCTGCGTGGGGAGCCGAGGTGCTGGGACAGGGATGTCCCTGCCCCTGAGCCACCCCGGTCAGGCTGTGCTGCCCAGGCCCTGCTTCCACTGACTGCCTCTTCTGCTCACTCCTTTAACAGTGTGGCATTCCCCAAGGAAAGGCTGGAGGCTAAATTGCCAAGTGCTGGACAGGTGAGAGCTGCAGAGCTTTTCCTCGTGCTGTGAGCAGCGTAGAGCTCCAGACCTGCACCAGCAGCTCACTCTGGGCTCTGCCAGCCCAGCTTGGGGCTGGTGGCTGCTTTGCTCTGTGCTGGTTCCCTCCAGTTCCTGCCTCCCTGAGGATTCCCTCCTCTCCCAGAGCTTGCTTGGTGCCGTGCAGGGAGGGATTGGGCAGAGTCCATGGAAGAGAAACTCTGCTCTGCTTTCCTTGGGGCAGTTGCACCCAGATTGGAAAGAGCCCAGGGCTCAGTGCTGCTGCTGCTCAG